TCCCCAAAGAAATCAGCTGCGATAACGGCCCCAAATTCATCGGCAAAAAGATAACGGAGTTCGTTGACAAATGGCACATCAAACGGATACTCTCCACGCCATATCACCCCGCCGCCAACGGCCAAGCAGAATCCTCTAACAAAACAATATTGAACATACCGAAGAAGAAACTCGAAGAAGCCAAAGGGCTCTGGCCCGAATTACTACCAGAGGTACTGTGGGCTACCGGACAACGCCCAAATCCAGCACAGGAGAAACACCGTACTCACTGGTCTACAGAACCGACGCGGTTATACCAGTCGAAATCGGAGAACCAAGCCTGAGATATTCACATACCAGCGGAGCAGACAACGACATGGGTAGGCTTCAAGACCTCGACGAGGCAGAAGAACGAAGGGATATGGCCCACATAAGAATGACGGCTCAAAAGCAACAGGTCGAAAGGTATTACAACAGAAAAGCTAAAATACGACCGCTCAAAGTAGGCGACTACGTCCTCAAAGCCAAAACTTTGGCGTCAAAAGACCCAAGCGAAGGGAAACTGGGCACCAATTGGAGCGGGCAATATAAAATCACAGAAGATGCAGGCAAAGGAGCATTCCAGTTGGAAACAATGGAGGGAAAAATACTCCAAAACAACTGGAATGTCGCCCACCTCAAGTACTTCCATTTTTAAGGGGCGTCTCCCGAGTCGTACTCTTTTTCCCTTACCTGAGTTTTGTCCCAATTGGGTTTTCTCGGGGAGGTTTTTAACGAGGCGGCGAAGGGGACACCCAGGGGCGTATGGAGACAGGTTTATCATACCGGCCAGTCGACGCGTTCTCCAGGCCGATATAATAAAGGGACTAGCCTAGTTGAGTCTCCATTATGTAAGCGGCTAAGGCCACCTTCTCCATTATGTAAGCGGCTAAGGCCACCAACTCCATTATGTAAGCGGCTAAGGCCACCAACTCCATTATGTAAGCGGCTAAGGCCACCAACTCCATTATGTAAGCGGCTAAGGCCACCTTCTCCATTATGTAAGCGGCTAAGGCCACCAACTCCATTATGTAAGCGACTAAGGCCACCAACTCCATCCTATGGGCCAAAGGCCATCGCTAATGATCGTCGACCCCGCTCGATGACGATGGATAACACTTCAACGACATTTGAAATTACATCCTATGGGCCAAAGGCCATCGCCAATGATCCTCGACCCCGCTCGACGACGACGGATAACACTTCAACGACAGTTGAAGTTACATCCTATGGGCCAAAGGCCATCGCCAATAATCGTCGACCCCGCTCGATGACGACGGATAACACTTCAACGACAGTTGAAGTTACATCCTATGGGCCAAAGGCCATCGCCAATGATCGTCGACCCCGCTCGACGATGATGGATAACACTTCAACGACAGTTGAAGTTACATCCTCTGGGCCAAAGGCCATCTCCAATGATCGTCGATCTCGCTCGACGACGACGGATAACACTTCCACGACAGTTGAAGTACATCCTATGGGCCAAAGGCCATCGCCAATGATCGTCGACCCCGCTCGACGGTGACAAACCATGTATAAACAAAGAACAACACAAAAGAATAGCAATAAAAGTATAATTCTTTCACTATGACAAGAATTATATACATTTAGTCCCATGGAGGACTCCCATTACATTCCAAAAAGAAAAGGCAAAACCTATACAAGTCTTAAGGAGCCTCGCCAGATATACCATCGCCATCCGCTTGCTCTCCTTCTTGACCATCGCCACCGAGGCGGTAAGTCTCATTAAACCATGGGTTGGACTCGAGCCGTTTGACGTCCTCCGAAGTATAGCCCTCTCGGTCAGGAGAGTCGGAGCTGTACCCACAAGCTACACGAGCGGCACGAGCCTCGCGCCACTGCTCCTGAACTTTCTCATCAGAGACCTGTTCCGCAACAAGAAGTTTTTTTATACACGTCCAATTTGGCCTCCGCATATATCCACATCTCGTGCGCATCTTGGGTCGCATCCCCGGGACGTGGCGGGGCAGTACACCTGAGGACATCGATCTCAGCCACCTTAGCTTCGAGCTCGGCTGTCAAAGCCGCCACCCTACGATGAAGATCGGTTACCTCCGCCGCCACTCCATGGCTAAGCTCCAACTCTTCCTCTCTCAGTTTGAGGAGTGATTCCAGCTCGCTATTACGAGCCACAGCCTTCACCAACTCCTCATCCGTTTTCTCCAGCTCCGCCGCCCTGCGGCTCAATTGTGCCTCCCTCTGTTCGAGGCCTTCCCGGAACACCTGGAATCGTGGATCTTGCCGGAAGAGATCTGCCGCCGCTTGATGCTTGGAGCGATACCGTTTATACCTCTTCACCATCTTATCAAAAACGGTTGTTTTCTTCTCCTCACGGCGCCTCCTCTCCACTTCCAAAACCAGGGTCTAAAAAAAAAGAGAGAATATATATACATGCATATGAGTTAGTACGCATCAAAATCAACTTCACGACACACGAAAGAACAGAGAAGTTACCTGTAACACCATACCAGCGATCCTCCAAGACAGCTCCGCATCGCTGACGGCGCTCAGCATCTCGCGCTCGGGGGAAGCACACAGTAGGGCCATCTCCAGCGCAGCCCGTTCGCTGTGCTGTAACAAGTTGTAAGCCCCTGGAATCACGATGCGGCAGCCAGGTCCGTTTGCTGTCATCTCCACGCGTGCATAGTTTTCCGCCATCTCATCCACATTCCCGTGGACGGCCTCAGCAGTGGGTCCTCCAGCGTCGCCACCGACAAGGGGCGATGAGCCACCCTCGGCAACACGAGACGAGCTGGTACCAACATTAGCATTTATCTGGTTGGCCGGCCTCCCCGAACGGATGGCGTCGGCCATAAAGACGGGCCTAGTTGTTTGCCGAGGCGCATCACTCTCTTCATCTCCAGTCGCCACCGCTTTATCCGTTACGAGCCTCCTCCTTTTTCTCTCCTCAGGCTCCTCGCCCTCGGAAGGCTCGTCCGCAGGTTTGCGGAGACAATGTCGACGGCCTCGCCTCACTTATAGCCACCTCCGCAGGAGCAGCCTCTTGTAAAGAGGCTATGGTCACCCCTTCCCTGACAGAAGCACAAAGTATTTCCTGTGCATTCTAACCAACATCTGATCGGGAGGAGGTGGATGCCGTCGCCCACCTCTTAGGAGCACTTCGACCTGGCAATAAAAATAATTTAGCTGACGCAAGTTCGTGAAAGCGACTAGTTAAAGTCGAAGAAATACCTGAAGGGCTCGCAGGACCGTAATGTTCAAAGAATTCAGCCCACGTACGGGTCTCTTCCGCGAGAGGCAGCAGACTGGACACCCACTGCTTAATATCGGTTATGAACCGGGGGACGCGAGCTATTGCTGCAAAATAACAGAAAAATCATAAGGTTGGTATAATCGATACCGCTAAAGTCACGTACGATAAATGACTCGACGGATAGGAATACTTACGTCTCGAATTCCACCACTCAGGGAATCCGACGGGGTTAGACACCAGGTGCTCCGTCTTGATAAAGAAGTATCTACGCCAATAGCCCCGGTTAGCCCGATCGTCGGTTTGCACGACCAACCCCTTCGAGCCACGATTCTTTAGATGCAGCATGGTGCCCCTCAGGTAGCTGGCGCTGAATAGCTGCAATAGGTGGTGGACAGAGACCTCCAGCCCGGCCAGCTCCGCGTATGTAGACATTACCCTACATACCTTTAGGGTATACGGAGTGAGTTGGGTGGGACACATGTTGTAGAAACGGCAGAGTTCTTCCGCCAACGGAAGAAGGGGGAGGCCATAGCCGATCAAAAAGGGATATTCGTAAAACGTACAGTACCCCGGTCTATGGGTGTTCGCGTAGTCCGCTCCTGCTAAAACCATCTCCACGTGAGCGGGTATATCATACGACGCACGAAGAGTATCTAAATCAGTTTGTTTTAACTCTGATTTCTCCCAAAGTTGTTCGGGAGAATCCCGTTGAAAGTCCCTCCTAATAAGGAGTTGCTTCGGGAGCACGTTATCTACGGTAAGAGGGGTGAGATCCTCCCCTTTCTCTCACTTACTGCCGCCGGATGGAGGTGGTATGTCAGATGATTTATTATTACGAGCCCCCGGCACGTTATCCCATTTAGGTTTTGTCATGGTTTCCGATTAAGGAGTGATGTACTACACAACCACAAGTGTACTTTTAGGGAAGCAGTGATTTTTCGTAAAAAGAAAGCGTTTTCTTGAAATAGTTGGAAAACGTTTGTAGATGATCTAAAGTTAGGATAATTTGAACCCTTTCCCTATTTATAGGATTGGGTAGCGTTGAAATCGAAGAGGCAAGACCCCAAACAGGCGCAGGAAACCAAGCATCAGAACACCTTTTGTACTTCCTCGGGAACACGCGTAATGATGACGCCTGCATATGGTGACATCATCTCAGGGAGGGAATTGCGCCCCAATATGTCAACAAATTCAAATGATCGCCCCTCCACGTCGTCGTCTCCAAACATGGTCAAAATTTTCCTAATACAAGGATCATGGTTCCGTCCATCGGCGACGCACTTCGTTACGTCACCAACGAACGGAGGGACTATCTGTATGGGGTCAAATTCTGCCCACTACAGTAGCAACGACCCACGACTAAAATAGCCGAAGTAGAGGGGACGACCTAAGAATGTCAGAGCGAAAGCGTGCCCTTAGGTCTCGTCGTCTCCTCGAAAGCACGTGACCTATCCCTGTATTATTTTATAATTTTTGAGGGGGTTCACTTGTTATATAAAGGAGAATCCCAATGTTGTAAAAGGCATGAGATCTTTCAATAATAAGCTATCTTTCTTTCTATTTCTCTCTCTCTCTAAACAAGCTTTCTCTTACTCTCTCGAATATCCAAGTTGTTGAAACAATCACAAGCATAATACAAACTTCTAGGTCTCATTATATTCGATTACGATTTACCTGTGAATTATTTTGATTGTTTTTCGCTTATAAAGTAATTAGTATCTTTTGAGCAAAACAGGGAGTACTATATAAGAAGATATAAGTAGTTCATTTTTGTACTGAAGATTCTTCCTTGCTTGTTTATCAGCCACTGCTAACTTTATAATTCATGAAAAGGTTTATAAAATGGGTAGCTTAATGAGAGCCAATACATCAGTTAACATTATCTAGGAAGCATTTGTGTGACACTCTGAAAACTCTCAAACTTTGTTGATGTTGCAAATGGATTAACAGATTGCACTCCTTTCTTGTCCCTGGAGGATGATTTCTGCAAACTATCATAACTTGATTGTTTCGAGCTATGTGGTCTGTAGACTCCTGGCGCAGTTAACAACTTCTCATTGAGATTGACTTCTTTAGACAACATATCAATCACTTGTTTCATGTTAGGTCTTTGCGTAGGTGCTGCTTGTGTGCAAAAAAGAGCAACTTTGATGAAGCGCAGTAATTCAGCTTCTGGATACTCTGTTAGCTCTGGATCAACGATATCTAGAAGCCGCCCTTCTTCTCTAAGCTTCCATACCTGCAGAGTGTAAACCTTCAGAACTAAAGTAAAATTATAATCATTTTGAGTAATGCCAATGACTGGCCCATCTGCTGTGTATTCAAACCTTTTTAAGAACTTCCGGACTTCTAAAGGTGTGGCTTAACGGTCAATCAAGAAGGTGAAAACACAGAGATCAAGGATCAAATCCGAGAGAAGAAAATGCTAGGTGATTTTTCACATATACCTAAAATTCTAAACCTTGGTAGATAAGTTAATCTGGTGCTTGTGCTGATGGGAAATAACGGGTATTCAGTGGAATAGTCAATGTGCAGGCGAGCAGACTTGGACACTACCATTATAAATTAAAAAGTACGCTATCCTTACGATCCAGGAGGTCACGGGTTCGAGCCGTGGAAACAGCCTCTTGCAGAAATGCAGGGTAAGGTTGCGTACGATTGACCCTATGGTCTGGCCCTTCCCCGGACCCCGCGCATAGCGGGAGCTTAGTGCACCGGGCTGCCCTTTGCTATCCTTACGATCCAAAAGACTTATTCAAAGGTTTCAGCTAATGCAAGACCTTCAGAATCCATAAACCTTAGCATATTCTTTTTCTTCTTCTTTCACACATTGAGTAATCATGATTTAACATTTACCATTTTTCGTGTGTTCTGTGATTGATCCAACATACATTAAATTTAAGTTAGGAAAGTTAAACCATGTAAAGTCCAGTGAAGGAGGCCATCAGATGCAGATCTCTAAGTATTTTTAGTTGACTTCCATCTAAAACATTATTATTACTAATGAATCTTGAAGAACATAAAGCTGAAAGTATAATCCTACCCATTCCACCAGAATCAAGAGATCCACTCCAAATGCTGCTTTACTACTGCTTCTTCCACTTATGATCTCAAGTAGAAGAACTCCGAAACTGTAGACATCAGCCTTTTTTGTGAGTTGTCCGAACAAGGCGTACTCGGGAGCAAGATAACCTCTGCAACACATGAGAAGATCAATAAACAACAAGACAAGAAAAGAGAGAGAATGTTATTGAAATGAAATTAAATGGAACTCACACTGTTCCAGCCACTCGCGTACTAAGATGAGTCACATTTTCAGGGAAAAGCTTTGCCAGACCAAAATCGCCAATTTTAGGTTGAAGGTTTTCATCAATAAGGACATTACTGGCCTTAATATCTCGATGAACAATTGGTGGTGTTGCTTCCTCATGAAGAAATGCTAAACCAGATGATGTACCTAAACATATAGCAACTCTCTTGGGCCAATCCAGGGCAACACGTTTACCTTTAGAACCTGCAATGACAATTTACACATTGGTGAGCCATGCACTTGGATTTACATTCCTTGAAAAAGTGAAATACAAAACAATAAATTTCAAAGAACTTCCAAGAACTTTTTCAACGGCTCAAGTCCAACGGTCAAGGTATTATTACCCCCTTGGGTTTTAAACCAAAGGCGCCTCAATAAAGGAATTCTTGTTCCTGCCTCATATGGCTAACTTTCCATCCCATTCCAATGTGGGATTTGGCAAAGGCAAGCTTAATAACGAACCCCTTACAAGTTCAATCGCTAGTGGTACGTGCTATTACATTTTCTGCCTATCAACCATATCTTCATGAATTGTAATGGGAACCCATAACTTTAACTAGTACATGTTCATCTGGTTCAGAATGAGTTTTCGAACTTTGTGAAAATTACCAAGTAAAGCACAAGCAAGGCTGTTATTCTCCAAGTATTCATATATCAACATTCTATTGCCACTCTCAACACAGCAACCAATCAACTGAACAAGATTTGGATGTCGAGTATCTGAAATCATATTAATCTCTGTCAAGAATTCTTTGGTCCCTTGTTTTGATTCAGCAGAGAGACATTTAATGGCAACACGAGTTCCATCTCTCAAAACTCCCTACATTTATAGAACAAAGTTGCATAAGTACAGACTTTCTCAAATGAAGCAAAAAACACAAAGTGGAAATTACTTGAAGATTTGACTTATATATACTGATTGTGTAAAGTATTTTTACACTATCAATGTATTTTTTTAGTTGTAGCAAGTAATCCGCCTTATTTTCTAACTTACTAATCCCATTTTTTATAGACAGTTACTTGGAGTTATCCTTTTAGGGTAATTTGATATTGCAAAAAAGTTTACCTTATAAACAACTCCAAAACCGCCACCTCCTATCTTGTTAGATGGATGGAAGTGTCTTGTTGCTGATCTCAATGAGTTATATGAAAAAAGCCTCACATTGTTGGTGTTAAGCTCTAAACAATGTGAACACAAGAAGAATGTGAAGTTCTCAAAACTGGATAAAAAAAAGCACAATAGAATCAAAAGAATTACTCCTAAGACTCTGTAACCATTCAAACCATACAATTTGTTTGCAAAAAAGATATAGAGAAGCATTTCTTTAGTGTTTTTATGTCCTATAGGAAGCATTCAACATCTGAAAACTAAGGACTTTCTTCTCTAGGGTCAGAGAAATAATCCTGATTTTAGCATAGATATGAGATGGCCATAAATTAAAATTCTCAAGCAGTACTAAGGTCTATAGACTTAGAATCTCAGGCTCGAGCATTGGTAATGGAGAAACACATAGTAGGGAGCGCTACTCCTTTATTAGCCCTACACAACTCGAATCTGTAATAGGCGACTAGTGAATTTTGGATACTGGATGGTTAAGCAGGAAAAAAATCCCAATTCTGATGAAGGTAAGATTAGAAATTTGGAGAGGAAACAAATTTGAAAAAGTTCTTTTGTACACTTCAGACTTTTTTATTTTCTGGAGATCACGCGTAATAACATGAGACACAAAGACCAATATAGCGAAAAAATAGGACAACATCTACCATGGTTCTTGCAGTTTGTTGACTATTTAGAGTTTTCAACTGTTTAATTCCAAATACAAAACATCAGGATTAAAATCTCTGGGAAGGGGAAAAAAAAGTAGTTGCAGCATGTCAATAAGTAAAATCTTGAAAGAAATTATGACTGTTGTTACCTTGGACCTGAATCTCTCTATTATCCTTACATCCAAAGCAACTACAACCCATTGCTGAAATATTCACAATTTTTAGCTTTCTAGTCCCTCTTTAATCCTTCTGTCACCTATCTCTGCAAACTTCACCAAATATAGAAAAACAAAGAGAAAACATCAAAATCAACTACTCTATATGAGATCCACTCAAATGTTCAAAATTTAGAGACTAATACTATACCTGATTTCTTGGTGTGTTTGAAAATCCCAAGCCATTAGTGTGAAGAGAGTTGAAACAAAAGGCAAGCTGAATGCGATATGTAACTTTATACTACTCCCTCCGTTCCCTCCGTTCCAATTTACTCCCTCCCCTCCAAAATAAGTGATTTTTGGCCTTTTTCTTGTGGTCCAAAATAAGTGATTTTTTCAGATTTCAAGAATAAATTAACTATTTTTTTCCTACATTGTCCTTAAAGTAAATGGTGTTGGAATATGTGTTAGGAGTGTTTACGTAAGATAGTAAAGGTTAATATGGTCAATTCCATTACTAATTAATGCTAAAAGGTGAATTTCTTAATTTATGTGAAAACATACAAAAAATCACTTATTTTGGACCGGAGGGAGTACGTGAACCTGTTTGACTGGGCACGGAGTTTAAGAAAAAATGAAGACTTTTGGAATTTGTGGTACTAAACAATTCAAAAAGGGGCCCAGAGTATTTGTGTGGTTATAAAAGCTTCTCATTAAGGCTAGAATTGTAATTTTAAGCTAAATTGTTTCCAAATTTAGAAAGGGGTCATTTTTTTGGAACGGACCAAAAAGGAAATAGGTTCACATAAACTGAAACGGAGTGATTACTTGTCATATACAGTAGATAAGTTTATATACTTTGTACCTGGTACTAAATGCTACTAGTATTAATTAAATGTATTTATTAATACAAAATGAGAAAGCGATCGGGTTGGCTAACTAGAAGGTGAATAAATGAGAGAAGCTGCTATTGATGTTGACTTTGTATTTTCATAGAAAATCTTTAGTATATTTAAAAGGGCAGCTTAGTGCACGAAAGCATCCCGTATTCACACAGGATACGGAATGTTATGTAGACAGCCTATCCTGATGTAAGCATCAGTTTTCAGAGGCGGATTTATGATTTAAACTCTATGGATTCAACTTTTAAGGTTTTCAGCATTAAACTCATTATATTTTTAAAGTTATGGGTTCATATCTACCAGCAATCAGAGGCGGAGCCAGAATTTCAATTTTATGGGTTCTGAATTTTGGGACCACGACTTCAAGTGTTAATGTCTCGATTCAAGATTTAATATTTATACATTTTCATGAATTCAAAATACCAAATACACTATTTGAGCAAAAGCTACTGGGTTCGGCAGAACCCGTAGGTCGGCTTGTGCCTCCGCCCTACTTGTAGTTTTAGTAAATTTCTACACATAAATTTATACTCCGCGTCGAAAATTATACGTTCAATTGAACCCGTTATTAGAATACTACATCCGCCCCTGTCAGTGGCTGATTATACGGCTCGAATCTTTGACCTATAGGTTACGAGATACTACACTTCACACTAAATATCGTATTTCGCTACGTTGTTCATCAATGCAAGAGCCGAGATATCGGTTTCCAAGAGTCGTTTATGTTTCAAAACAAGCACAAGTTCTCCCGCCTGCACCGCAAACGGGGCGCGGAGACCACTTTACCTTTCCTATATATCAAGAAGAGAAATGGATTTTACTTTCTTTTTGTTGACAAGGAGCTTAAATAGTCTACTGTGTATAAGAGTATGTTGAAATTTTTATCAGGATTCTTTTCTTTGACATATCTACGAGAGAAAAGCAGTAGAATTGGTCCACCTAAATAAAAGGTCATTTTCAACTACCAGCTTACTTTATGTGCCTCTTGTGATGTTCGGTAGAAGGAACACCAAAAGCAGAGCTAACACATTTGGCATTTATTTTTATTTCAAGATTTCAATTTCATTCGTATAATAGGAGTACTTATTTATACAAACAATATAAGTAATAAATTAGTCAAACTAATATTTTAGACTCAGTATCCAATCAATTAGTATATGATTATACAAGATAAAACGGATGAAATATTTAAATAAATAAAAACAAAAGAAGCATTCAAAGCGGAGAACGCGCAGGGGAAGTATTTTACGTGATTGCTCTATTTTCAGCCATAAGCTTCTTTAAAAAAATTAAAAAGAAAACATCATTCTTTTACTGGGTTGGGCGATCACATATCTACATATAAAAAATATTCATGCAGTGCAAATCAAGATGTAATGTTGGAATAAACTTTCATTTTTTCATATACCATACTCTTTTATCAAAGTCTCTCACGAAATCAAATCTTGAATTGTGAGAGTAATTAAACCCAAAAAGTCAATACGCGTTATAACCTTTTTTCTTGTAAGGCTAAAATCTTTAGGTTATAAACACAAGTTGTTAAATTAAGTAAAAGAGTTAGGTTCTAGCTTAAATGTGGTATTATTTTATTTTTATGACGATAGTATGTATGGGGTAAAATTGGTTAACGATAGCTGGGCGAATGATGGAGTGATACGTAGAACTACAGACAGGTGGGGTGTGAGTCAGCAAACAGATGGCACCGGATGCAAGCATGCAATCAGTACTGAACGAATCCCAAAGATAGAGCAGCCAATAACAAAGATTCAAAGCATTATTATCGGATAACATTCAATGGGCAGTCATTACAGAGAATATCTACATTTATAGCCAACTGTTATGCAACCATCAATGACGATTTTATTCTCATTCAGGAGGAGCTTGATTTGAGGATCCTGTCTCCCTGAGTAAAGCTATAAATAGGAAAAGCTATAATCTACTTTCATACACTCACTTTTAGTTCTCGAACATTGCTCACTCTTGCCATTGAACAGGCTAAGTTCTTGGTTAAGCTTGTAATCTTCCTTAGTTTCATATAACTATCTTACTTTTGTTCTTATCTGTTTATTATTTTTAGGTCAATTCGTTTGTCTATAAATCACGCTATAAATTTATTTGTATCGTTTTGCGGGTAAACTGTTTGGCGTCCAACGTGGGGCATAGACATCTGCATAATTGCTTTGAACCATTCGCTTGTTACTAACAAATTTTGATTCTTTCCTTAGTAAAAGAAAATAAGATATGGTAGTTAATGATGTCAACAACGCTTACAACGTTAGAGCACACGATGAACGGGAAGATGTGTTCTAGTGTGATTATTCAACCAGCAAAACCCGCAACGAAGGGGACGAAGCAACCCCGATTCGCGAAGGACAATATCCTCAGCATGTGTGAGGCCCGACTCCTGATGATGCGGAGGATGAGCATGTTGTCGAAACAGTCAAAACCCTGAGAGAAAAACAAATGGCGATTACGGATCACCTCTCGAAGCAAGATCGGGTGATGACGGAATTGAAGCAGGCGTTATCGGGTGCTTCCAATAACGCTAATGGAAGGTCTCTGGTTCCTCCCTGTGTTCCCGCAAATCAGACGGCTCAAAGAACCGATAACAATACTCCAAGGGATGAGGTCGGTTTCGACGAGGCTGGAGGGATCGGTAGTGGATCTAGGAACAATAATTTAAATGACCCTTTTAAAATCGAGCTCATGAGATTCATGAGAGAAATAAATGAACGTATGGATCAGAACGTGAAGTAGTTTCATGCTCGTATGGATCAGATCCCGGGAGCGCCGCCAGTGATAAAGGGACCAGATTCAAGGAAGTATACGCAGTTACCATTTAAGCCAAGTGCGGCACTAAAATTGATCCCAAAGAGATTTAAGATGCCGGATATACCAAAATTGTTACACCCCATATTTTGGTACATGAAAGTACGCCATGAGTAAATTGATATAAGCTCGGGAATGAGATTATTTTTGAGGTTATAAGTATTATGTTATTTCAAACAAGTGATAAGTAAATTCGTGAAGGTTAGAGGGTAAACAAATCAAAGAAATGAGTTCCGTCGAAGTTTGTCATTTTGGGATAAAATACGGTCCGAGCTATAATACCCGGTATTTATGGACTAGTGCCATAAAAGGTACCACCTGACCATGATAGTAAGGTGTATAAGGTGTGTTAAAAGTGAGTAGTATTTTAAATAATTTGAGATGATTCTTAATTATGTGAATAACTGGTTTATTATTGGTTAATGGGGGAATTAACAAGTTAATTATCAATTAGTGGTTGATTAACTAAAGTCTTTGGATAAAGACCAAGCCAAAAACGTGGCAGCCCCCATTCCAAGATTTGTGACGCCTATATTAGGAATGAAAGGTGTTACGCTTGAAGAACTTAGGTGAAACTAAGCTAGACATATGGGGCCCACCTAATAATTAAGGATAACTTTCCAAATTCAACATTATCTTCAAATCTCTTAAGAAAAGAACATAGTAACGTTCTTTCTAAGAGAGTTCAACCAAGCTTTCCATTTTCATGTAACGTTATTCCTAAACTCTTAAGAAGAGTTTCAGCAAGCTTTCCATTACATAACATTAATTCTAAATCTCTTGAGAAAGAGTTTCAACAAAGATGATTTTGCAATAGCAACGTTATTGCTTTGAGCATTTCGTACGGATTGTTCCCTATTTCGATCTTGTCATTACGTATTTCGTCGCAATTAACGTGTGTTAGAGGGATTGTCAAGAAGGTTATCCCTTCTTTCCTTTTGGCATGATCCATACGTTGCAAACGAAACGAGCAAATGTACAACTTCCATAAATGACTCTATTCATAGAAATGCTAGAGATACTTATATTATTGATTCACCATGTATCATATTATTTTATCGTCTGTTCATGGGTCTAAGAAAATACGTAAGTTGAAAAAGTTTACTTCATGATATTATTCAAAGACACAATGGTCTTATGACATTCCCAAAGATTTTATTGACGTACTTCTCATGCATTGCATTCACATATACATGTACATTGACCCATGACCTGATGGCGTTATATACACGTATATATGTTTATGGGATATGGAAAAAGGTTAAGGCGTTATATACGCACTACCAACTGATCATCTGGTATACGTTAATGATATTGCCCACAGTGGCCGAGATGATATGATGGGACGCCCTCAGAGGCTTGATGATGTTATGAACGCATATACCTGTGCATGGCATGATATTTATACGCATATGCATGACATTATGATATTAAATGATTCACAGAGCTGTTTAGACATACATGTCGAGTCTTTTACTCCACGTTTCTCTCATGTCTATTATTTACTGATTTTCATTCCTTACATACCCGGTACATTATTTGTGCTCACGTCCCTTTTGCCTGGGGCGCTGCGTTTCATGCCCGT